TGGTCAGGAGAGATGAGGAGTGGGAACACGACCGGGACCCCCAGCAGGGACTCTGCTCATGGAGAGGCAGAGTTATCCCGAGCTGAGACATTCCCAAATAAAAAACGGGATCCAAGATTCCAGGGCTGTGAATCCCACTCTCTATTGTGACTCTCAGGAATATTTCCTGCTCTGTTTTTCAGCTGACATTTCCTCTCTCTTTTGGAAAAAACAAAATCCTCCCCCCGTTCCCATGTCCTAGAAAACACCAAAAAATAAAACCCCAGCAATTAATGGGAATTTTAATTGTCCCTCTCTCCATCCAGAGCTGGAAAAGGAGTTTTTTCAGCCATGAAGCTTGGAAAGACCCGTCCGTCCAAGGACGAGCATCGGAAACAAGGTACGGTTGTGGAATGATGGTGGATTCCTGGAATTGCAGCGGTGGGAGAGGAAGGGCTGCCCGCTCCCTGGGCTCTGCTCCGAGGTGGGGCTGGAACTGGACACCTCCGGAGAGGCAGCGACTGGAAACTCGTTGCTGTTTCCATCTGAGCCGAGGATCGGTTTTCCACGGCAAAGAAAAGCGGGAATGTGCGTTCGCAGGCGGGGGGAAAAGCCTCGGTTTGGGTCGCGGCTCTGGGAAAACTCTCCCTGTTTTCCAGCCAGGTTGGAGGGTAGGAAAAGGGAATTTTGCCTGGGATGCTGGCATGGAAACCTGGGCGCTCTTCCCACAACCTGGGTGTTCTCCTCGTGGTTAAAGCTTCCAGCAGGACCACGGGAAAACATCCAGGATGCGAAGGAGCAGAGCAGCTGGTCCCATGGAAGCGTCTCCACGGGCTGGATTTATCCAGGGTGGTGGAATGGTCACTGTGTGGTGTGGGCACTGCTGCATGGCCGGGAGGCTCCTGATCCCACCTTTCCCAGGAACCTCCGGCTGTCCCACACCTTCCCTGGGCTGGGATGGAGATTCCGACCCTTGGCCACCGGATAAAGGGATGGGTGGATGTCCTGCACCCGCTGCCTGCTGGCCAAGCCGGCATTCCCAACATTCCATGGCTGCTCCCCTCCCATCCCGACTCTTCTCTGGGTTAGATCAGGACCAACCTGGCCTTGGACACTTCCAGGGATCCAGGAGCAGCCACAGCTTCTCTGGGAATTCCAGCCCAGCCTCTCCCCACCCTCCCAGCCGGGAATTCCTTCCCAAGATCCCAGTCCAAGCTCCCCTTTCCCACTGGGAGCCATTCCCTGGCTCCTGTCCCTCCACCCTTGTCCCCAGTCCCTCTGCAGCTCTCCTGGAGCCCCTCCAGGCCCTGCCAGGGGCTCTGAGCTCTCCCTGGATCCTTCTCCTCTCCAGCTGGATATTCCCAGCCCTCCCAGCCTGCCTCCAGCGCAGCTCCGTGGTCTCCTCTGGAGCGACTCCAGCAGCTCCATGACCACCCCATGCCAAGGATCCCAGAGCTGGAGGCAGCAATTCCCAGCTCGTGTGACTCTGGCTCAGTCTTAACCTCCTGGCTGAGTCAAGGACCCCCTTTCCCTCAGGAAAGGAACATTCCAGCAACTTCTTCCAAGAGAAGCCCAGGCATGGGGAGGTGCCGGTGGGATTGCAGCAGTTTTTCCTCTTGGGAATGACCCATTTCTCCCATTTTTTAACCCCTTTCTCTTCAAAACCAGGGACTTGGTTGTCTTTCCAAAATGTCTTCTGCTCCTCAGATCTCCAGTTCTTCTTCAAATTCCCCTTTACCTCCTGAATCCGGGGTGTTGTCATTATTCCTTATTTTTCCTCCCCAAAACCCTCTGCAGGAATTCTGCCCGGATTGAATTCCATGTCATCTCCTTGATAACCCCTTTTCCGAGCAGGTTGTCCGAGACCCGACCTGCTTCCCATTGTTTTTGTGCTCCCAGCCGAGGGGACGGATTGGTTTCCCTTCTCCCAGCCTTTAATTATTCACGGATGGAAATTAAACCCGGAGCCATTCCTTTGTCCCCTTCCCGCAGATGATCCGGCTGTTCTGGAAACAGAAGACCTGGACAGAAAGGCCATGAGATATGGAGCAGGCCTGGAGCCAGACACCATCTCCCTGGCCTCTGTCACCGCTGTCACCACCAATGTCTCCAACAAAAGGTGAGATCCAGGGCTAGGATTGTGCCAGCGGGCGGCGAGGACAGACATCCCGAAAATGCGGGATTGTGACCCAGGGAATGTTGGAAATCTTTGTCCCACGGAGCCAGTGGGATGTTTAGTTTGGAATGTCTGACCTGCAGCAGCGATCACCGAAGTTGGTTGAAGGAGCGTTGAGGGTTGACCCTGCTCTTGGGACACGGGACAAGGGATGGAGGGTCAGGACACAGGGAATGGCTTCCCACTGCCAGAGGGCAGGGATGGGTGGGAGATTGGGGTGGAATTGTTCCCTAGGAGGGACTGGGATGGAATTCCCAGAGAAACTGTGGCTGCTCCATCTCTGGAAGTGTCCCAGGCCAGGTTGGATGGGGTTTGGAGCAAGCTGGGATGGCGGGAGGTGTCAGGTGTCCTTACTGGACACCAAAGGAGTACGCAGAAGCTTGGTAAGTTCAAAAGAGAAAAAGACCCAGTTTTATTTAAACATCTGGTGTTTCTACAATCCCAAAGGTGACCGTGGGTTGGAGGATGGAATTACCACCTCTCCAACCACACTGGTCCAAAGATCAATCAATCATTTCTCTCCACCCACAGAGAAATATTCTAAAGTATTCGATTTATACATGAAACTATTCTATTTTTACATGAAATGGTGTGGGAACCCTGGCTCTCAAATATATGAACGTTATAAGAAGGCTAAAGAAGTTTTATGAGAACTTTAAAACTTTCAAAAGAGCTATAAAAGCAAAGTGAACACTTTTAAAAATCGGGCCAGCAGTCAGGCTCTGGATGATCTTTAAGGTGCTTCCTACCCAAACCATTCCATGATTCCATTAATTCCACCCGTGGTTTGACCAAGGGTTTCTTCTGCCTCCCCCAAGGTCCAAGCCTGACATCAGGATGGAGCCGAGTGCCGGGAGGCCCATGGATTACCAGGTAGGTGACACCGACCTGGGCTTGGGGACCGAGCTCCTGGTAGGTCTCAACTCACTGGGCTTGGAACCAGGACATCCCAAGAGCTGGAATTTCATCGGTAGAGCCATAAACTCAGGATTAAGTCATTGACTGGGTTCGTTGTCCAGCATGTGAAACCCAGAGAATCCAAATTAAGCTCTTTTTGAGGTTGTCTCTCCGTGGAATTTCTCCTTGGAGCAACCTGGGATAGCAGAATGTGTCCTTGCTCCTGGCAGGGAGTGGAATGGAACGAGATTTAAGGTCCCTCCCAATTCCAACCACTTTGTGATCCCATTGTGTTTTCCAGCAGAAGTGAAGCCAGTGGGATCGGTCTCTGGTTAAATCCCGTTGTGTTTTCCAGCAGAAGTGAAGCCAGTGGGATCACTCTGATCCCACATTTTGGGTTAAATCCCGTTGTGTTTTCCAGCAGA